ACGATACACCGATTACAAAATAATTTAAAAGGATACTATGAATTTCTACAAGTCGTTGATTAGTTTTTCGCAGCTGTCGGCCGAACCATTTCCTTGGAATTGACAGAAGTGTTAAAATTTTCATACACGTTTTAGCCAAAAATTCTGAACCTCTTTTAAAAAGTTAAAACTGTTCGAAAGATATCATGAATCGTGCTAATTATTTTTGGTAAATATCGGCCATGGATTATTACCTTAAAGCACATAGGTATTAAAATATTATGAGTTTGTTTAATTTTATTTGTTCATTGTTTAATTTAAAAACTCAACAAAATTTGGAATAACGACTCCAACAAAATTTCAAAATTACTTATATCTCTTCACAATTTTAAAACTTGCTTGGAATTCTTATTGATTAAATCATGCAACTTTCCTAAAGCAAAATGCTACTTACCACTTGTTTGGTAATTTTTTTATCACTTTTATTTTTCAAAATCTTTCAGCATTCACATTTGTAGCTGGAAAGATCGTAAATAAATATTAAGGATGCTGTTATTATCACGGGGAAATTAGACGCAAAATTATTAAATTTTATCAGCAATATAAATAAATATTAAATTTTTAATTTTAAACATATTTTTAAAGCCTTAATAGTTATAAAAAGAGATTAAGTTTTGAAAAGAGATTAAGATTCTGGAAGAAAACGTTCGCAATATTTTGCCTTTTGTTTTTAAAACAGTTGTTACCCTCCATTGTTTTGCTTCCTTCTACTCATTTTAACAAACTATTAAATTAATTTCGATTTCTTATTTCGCACAATCTATTCAAGAAATGACAATAAAATACTAAATACTAGTTATCTGTTGTATGCTGAGGATGTAGAGCAATAGAAACATGATTAAAAAATAAACATTTAGAATTAAACATTTAGAAATCATAACTCTCTAAAATTATAATTTTACATTTTTCACGTCTAACTTTTTCGAAATTAAATTTAGTCGGTACAAATTTTTCATGGTTTATTTGATTTTTGTTATTTGTGAAATAAATAAATAAATCAACATTTGGATTTATTTTAAATTTTGCTTAAGCAGGTTGTTGCCCCAATCATCTGAGAAATTATTTCTACATTCCTCACATTCATTTCATTTACGAAAATAAATTTAGTTGGTGCAAATTTTCATAATTAATTTCACTTTTGTCTTTTGTGAAATAAAGCCTTATAAAAGTATTTGAATTAATATTTTGTTATTTTATATTTTTTCATTTGTTTTTTTTTTTCTAATGACGTGTTATTCATCATTGAGTATAATAGAAATCTATACATGAAACGTTTACTAGATTGAATACATCTTTAAATGATCCAATTTTTAACTTGCCGAAAGATAAGTTTATGGTTTTGCATAAAAATACAAATTGCTAACTTTATGTATTAAGTAATTCTGAATCGTTTGACAACATTGGAAAAGGTATGCACGCATAGATAAAAGAAGAGTAGAGCACGTGTGTTGTGAGCCGATTTTTGATCTTTCGTCGTTTTCTCGGAAACGGCAGCCATTTTTTAGCGTGTCTGCAAACTTTTTCGTCCACGTTTTCGCAAACAATACTAAACAGTTTTTAAAAATAATTACAACTATTTGAAAGATATCGTTTGGAAAGCCATCCGATCTTTCTACAGCTCGGTATACTATATAATTCTCTCCTAAAAACTATCTTGGTTTCTTATATTATGGATTAAGTCCATTATTTGCACATATTGGAAATTTGATGCAATATTTACACGGAATAAATAATTGCTATTAAAGTAAATATTTAATCCTGGTCAAAAAAAAGAAAGTTAATAAATAACTTATTGCAGTCAAAACTGTTTTTATTCACTGGAAATTTTCTGTTAAAATTTTTAGTTCAAATTTTTTAAGTTTGAAATAGTTTTTTTCATAAAAACTTGAAACAGGTTGAAACCGCTTATTGGGGAAAAATACTATACCGCATTATCGGAAATGTTGACTGTATTTGCTGGATGACCTTCTGGCCTAACAGATGTGCTGAAGATGAAACGTACATAGCCCCCAAAAGTCGACAACAAACAATTTTTTGTTTAACTTTTTGTTTTTTATTACTATTTTGGATTCTTATTTCGGAGCTCAACACAACACATACATATCCAAGACTCATCATTCTCTATTTTGAGCTTTTTCTTTATTCAAATTAAAAATACTTTAATAAATGTTTACGTTTTGTAAAACAATATTTTGTAAAATATTTATTTAGTTTTTGTATTTTATTATTTAATTTAGTTCAGTCTATATCATCAGGGATGCAAATCATTCAGTACCATAATATACAATTATGGAAAAAGAATATAATATAATTTTTTATTTATATATATATATATATATATATATATATATACATATACATATATATTATTTGTATTAACAAAGCTCAATAATAGGGCATAGCATCAATAAAAAACATAAAACATCCATATGTTTTGGCTATAATCCTAGCCGTTTTCGGCTATAATCTAAACCGTTCGACCAGTTTACGGACAACACATATTTACATAAGTTTAATGTTAATATTACATAGCGTGGTGCATTGCCTATCCTGATACCAATGATTATTGAATTTTCTGTTTTAACACTAAGATTAACTAATTATGCCACTGAATGGAGGCTAGAATTATAGCCGATACATATGGATGTAAAATAAATTCTTAAAAAAAATTTGTTTTTTATTACTGCTATGCACGATTATTAAACTTCGTTATTATGAACATATTATTCATACATATGTTTGAATTTTAGCCTAAACAATAAATCCTATAAAAACAAGCATTTCTGAATGATGATAATAAGTTCATCTTCAGTTTTTTTACAAATAAATTTTTGCTAAAAGCAAGCTAATGTTAAAATTAATGATCATATGGTCTAAAAAATAATAGTAAAAAATAAAAATAGAAATGTGAAGCAACAATGATTTACATACTTTTAACTTGTTTCTTAAATCCATTTTGTTTTCATTTAGATTTACCTTATTGTGTTGTGCTTTACAAAAAGCACAACACAAATAGTATCAAATTGTTGTGTGTATATATATATATATATATATATATATATATATATATATATATATATATACACACATCAGTGTAGAAAGCAAAAATTATATTAATCAAATTCACAGCCCTGTAATGTGTACAAAAACAATATTTTATTTGCATAAAAACTTTAAAATCATGCTATATAAGTAAAAATTGTGAATGATTAGCATTCCCAATAATAATTCTCGAAACCATTTTTTCTGATAATTAACAAATTAACAAAAAAAAGAAGAAAACACTGAGATCTGAACATTTTTATATAAATATCTAAAGCTAATTCTAGCAAGTGATATGTTACTAAACATATGAGAGAAGTAAGACCACACAAATACATTTAAATTTAGATTTAGAAATATGAAGTTGTTGCTCAAAGCAATAACTATTGATTATAAAATGTTCTTTCTCGCTAATCAATTGTATATTAGGATTATAAAAAAAAAGTTCACATACACAATATTTATGCAAATGCGATTTGGAATATTATGTATTGTATTTGATTTTAGCATCTTGTTTCTTGTAAAGGTTCAATGCTATCTTTAATTTCAATGCTTTTATTTTCTGTTGATGAACATGCTCCCAAAGAATTTGTTTTTGAAACATTTCCACACGACGAATTGCTCTCCTGAAACCTAAGTTTCTCATCATTCACATGTATCAAGCAATTCGATGAAGCCTTTGAGCCCATATTAAAAATAAGTTTTCAGTAACATATTCTTCTGTAATGTTATGAGAAACATTGGATTCTATAACATTATTTGTATAGTAATTATTAACTATTTCTTCATTTGACTTTTCTATAGTTTCCAAATGCTTTATATGTTTTCCACCATTCGGAAATTTAGCAATTATCTTTTTTGTATAGTTAAATTTGAAGATGAAGAGCCAGGGTTGAGTTGAGTTTTACACTTACCAACATGTTCAATGTTGTCATCATTTCTTATAATCTGATTGCCTTTTTCATTTCAAGGTCTGGCAAAGAATTATGAAAAACAGAGTGTTGATCATTAGATGCAGCAGTATTCAAAACCCAAGGATTCATAGTTGACACATCAGATTTTTATTTGTGTTAAATTGATTTATATTACTATTTATTTTAGTCCAAGGATCAATTGGCTTATAAATTAAACAATTTTTACTTTTAGTAGTTATACTTTCAAGTTGATATTCATCAGAACAGTTACCTTTAGCTCTAAGGTTTTGGGAACATGTAGCATATTTCTCTCCTTTTGACACATCAGATATATGCAAATCGCTAGTGTTCATTGATGTTTCTTTAAGTGATTCATTATTTACAATTTTGCCATTCTTGCAAGCACTTGGTACATCATTATGAAAGTGCATACCTGAATTAAAATGCAATGATGCATTATTTTTGCATTCTACTGTTAATGGTTGAGTGATATTATTATGGCAACTGATAATATTATGAGGTAAGCCGTCTTGCACGGATTCTCGATGTTGAATTGAAGATCTATGACAGTTAGATTTCGCTGTAGAGAGAGGAGATGAATACTTTGTTGCAAGTTCATAGTCACTTTTATTTATGCTAGTATTTGGATTGTTTTTTGCTAAACACAAATCACTTATATCTAAAGCAGTCTTTCTGCAATTACACTTTTCTAAATTGTCATTATCCTCAGATTTTACATTGTCTACATTTTTCTCACAATCGCCGCTAATAACTTCCAATTTTGAGGCACTGCTTGAAATGCAACATTGCTGGTCACTTGCATTAATGCAAGCACCAGCTAGCTTTTGCTATAGTAACTTCTCATTAACAGAACTGTTAGTAGCAGAACTGAAGGTGGATAAGTTGTGATCATCACCTACAAAAAAAAAATTGTGATTATTTTGTATTTGAAATGTAAAGCTCAATTATACATTAAGTACCTGTTGTAGAGAAATATGAACAGATCCCGTAATATGCAGTGATTGTCAATTGAGTAATTCTACAGATACAAATTGCTTTAAACGTTCTAGATACTGGTTGTACAATTCAACATCATTGTGTCCAGCGCCCTGTAATGCAAGAAAATTTTAGAACATTTATGTTTCTTAAATAACATGTTTTTTAAAACAATAGTATTGAGTAAGGCACGATACTTATGTACTTTTGGTATACTCAATACATTAGCTGGATACTGTCAGCAGTATACATTGTAAGGGGTATGCACCTATTCGTATAATAAATTAAATTAATATTATAAATATACCGGTCAGAATATAAACAACACAGTTGTTGATTACTCATATACAACAATGTAAGCGCAATATCCTTGGGCCAGCCAAGCACGTGTTGTTAAAACAATTCCTTTCAACTGCAAAATGCGCATAAAACATTGACTCATCTTTTGTGTTGCACTCTGCAATGACATTGAACAAGTCGTAAAATATTGTTATCTAGGAGTGCAGGTCACACCCTGTGGAGCCAGTATTTAAGCTTGCGAATGACACAATAACAATCAGTGTGAGTTTATTCGTCACTCAGTAGTACTTTAGTTTTCAATAGAGTCGTATTTTAGTTGATCATAATCAGTCGTATTCAAGCTCAGTTGTTTAAGTTATATGTAAAGTGAACAAGAAATCATGAAATAAATAAATAAATCAAAAATTGTCGTCTGTTTACACTGATTCAGCCTCCACAGATTGGTAACAGCAGAAAAAATGTACGCCACAACATACATTGCTCTGATAATACTTTAACGTTTATTTAAACGAAATTTATATTAAAAATGATCAAATAAAAACAATAATAATGCATACTCTACCATTTATTTCTCAATTTATCTAAAAAATAATGTCTGGCTCTGGAATTAATCATAATTACTATATCGAACCATTTTGTATGTTATAATTTTTATTTTATAATTTTCTTATATATTTATAGAAATTAAGTATATCACAAATTATTTTAGATTTTTTGTAAATCGCATGTACGAAGTTTTATTTTCAAAATTAAAAATGTTTGACGTGGGTATTTAGAACAAAATTGAATCTTAGATAAAAGCGAAGATGGTTGCATAAAACCCTCCCAATCAAACTTGCGGAGCTTCTGGGGAGTCTATCGATAGAACACAATTATTTTCCTATTAGCCAAAGCTGGCCACCTCTGGGCGATTGATTCTTTCAGGCGATTCAATGATTGACCGTATAGTTCCGAGTTAAGAGCTTTGACAAAGGAGATCAGCTTATAGTAGAGAATTCCCTGTCTATCCCACACCAAATCCCAACTTGGCTTTGCTACTATTTCTAGATCCTCATCACCAGTCACCAACTGCTTCAAAAATGTGGCGATTTTCTTGCTATTCAGCAGCGATTCGCAGATGTAAATTCGGTAAAGCTGGTTAAATTGTGGCACCTATACATCGAGCTTCTTTTAGTATCCGACCTTATTTAAATGGTGCCAAAAAATTATTTGTGAAATCTTCAGCTCACGGACAATCGAAATCGACTTACATGACGGTTGGACTCTATGATTTAGTCGACATTTTCGACAATTGTCCATCCGGTGGGCGTTCGATGTCTTTGACGATCGATTTTTACACAATCGTTCATTCGAAGAATTCACTCATATATTTTCCGATGTGTACATAGAAAACATCAATCAAGAACAGCTTGTAGAACGGACAATATTAGCGGAAAAAATTGATGACGTTGATTTTTGAACTAGGCATCACACAAATCTAATGGGAGGGCGTATTTTTCCGCATAGTTTTTAATCTCACTTAATTTGTTAAGCATACCATTACATTAATTATCATTGAATGTTATATCTCCAATTATTTAGTTTCGTAATTAAAAATTAATAAAGAGCATTATAAAATGTAAATATATATATATATATAGATATATATATATATATAAATTACCTCAACCCAAAGTGGCTCTACGGCTCGAGGACATCGCTCATATATCGTCAGTCCGTGTGAAAAATCAATTACTTCATCCTCTGTCCCATGGATCACTAAGACAGGTGATGTTACTTTTGGAACTTTGTCGATGCTGCAAAGAAAATAAACTATAATTTAACTAATTGCAAGGCAAAACTGCAGACGTTTCTTCTCATTCTAATCAACTATATATATATATATATATATATATATATATACATATCATAAAATTCTATAATATATATATATATATATATATATATATATATATATATATTGTTAGCGAAATATATTGTGTGAATGTTTGAATGTATGTTTGAATATGGTTGGTTGGTAAGACTTGAGTTGTGTGTGTAGTTGGCTATATTGACTGTACGAACAGAGTGAATGCATGCGAGTCGGAAACAGAGTGTAATATAGAGTGAATGTGTAGAGTCGAACTGGAGATATTTGAATAAAAGTTAAAGAATACTGCACCGTGTTGTTTTAATTTATAGATTCCTGACAAATAATTAATTATAGAGAATATAGACAATAGTTTCAGAAGTGGGATAATTACCGATAATTACTGAGATAATTAGTGTGTGATTTTTAGTTAAAGTTGTTATTGGAATAGGTGATTCCAATAATTACAAGTGCGTGTATTATTAATCAGGTGGATTAATAATTACGAGGGTTGTGATAGGAACCAGGTGTGCGACGCTATCAGACCAAGTGTGGTGTTTTTTTTTTGTGTTTTGTGTTTGTGTCGGCGAAAAGTGCAAAAGTTAGTTTAGCACGTGGCTGACTAAGGTGAACAGTATAGTGAAGATATTGTAAGCGAGGTGTGCTAGCAATGTTATTTAGCTAAGGTGCAGTAATAGTTGTGTTGAGAAATTCAGGATTGTAGAGAAATTTAAAGATTTAAAATAAAATGGCTACAGGAGTTAACAATGAAAGCATGGCGCCAGAAGCTCTGAGCCTGCTCTCATTGACCGATCTGATAAACTTAATCAAGTCCACAAACAGTGATAAAGTGGAAAATATAACGAGTAGTGAATTGTTGGCGATGCTGCCAGAATTTGGAGGTTCGGCGGAACAATGTGTGAATTCGTTTTTCGAGCGCATAGAAGCCGTACGCGATACGTACGACGTGACCAAAAGGAAGATGGCGGTATTGATGATATCCAAATTGACGGGAGCTGCTAAGTCGTGTTTTTTTAGTAAAGCGGAATACGCCACTTATACCTACGACGAAATTAAGAGGGCGATAACAGCTTTCTTCAGAAACAGCGAAATCGCATGACGATGATGAGACGATTCGAAGCCCGGAGATGGCGGAGGCAGGAACCCTTTAGCTCCTACTTCCAAGAGAAAATGGCGCTGGGCAACCGAGCAGGGATCTCGGAGGACGATCTGTTGGCATACATGATTGATGGGTTCGACAATCCGACGCTTCAGGCCCAAGCGAAAATGAATCGTTTTCAAGATTTAAGTACACTTTTAAGTGTAATGAATGAATTAACGTCGACAGAACGGGGCGTTAGTTCGGTGCCGCCGAAGAAAGTACAGCCGACAGGGCTCCCAAGAATAAAACCGCACAGCGGAGGTATCAAATGTTTTAATTGTGGAGGTATGGGGCATTTAGCTTCGAGATGCCTTAAGCCCAAAAATGACGGAAGTGGAACATGCTATACGTGCGGGAAGCTAGGCCATGCGCAGAAGGATTGTTGGCGAAATAGCAATAGAGGGGCGCAATCGGCGCAGCCTGCGCAACCGGCCCCCGACAGTACAACGACGATGTTAATTAATCTAGTGCCTGCATATACGGTGGATGTCTCCATAGAGGGCGGTACGCAGATGGAAGGCGTAGTGGATACGGGATCGCCGATATCTATGCTGTCTGAAGAAGTGTTGCCAACCGGGACACAACTGTCAGACACGAGTAACGGCCGTTTTGAAGGAATTAACGGTTCGAAGTTGAAAGTGTTGGGAACGGTAGAACGGCTTGTGACTTTTTGTGCTTTTGGAGTGTCCGTAGTCTTAAAATTTTATGTGGTGCCTAGAGGAACGATGACATCGGTGTGCTTACTTGGTCGTGACATGATAAATCATGAAGACTTAAATGTTAATATAGGGAAAAGAGTGACTATTGAGCGGAAAGAGAGTGATAGTATATTGATGATAGATATAAGTAATAATAATAGTGATAAGGAGGTCGAGATTGATGTAGGAGACGGTTTAGAAGTGGAGTCTCAGCGAAGGGTTAGAGAGGTTATTGGACAAGAATATTTAGATGCCGCGCTGCCTTCTGAACCGGCTGTGAAAATGGAAATGACCATAAATTTGAAGGCTGACGCTACAACGTTTCATGTGAGGCCACGGAGAGTATCGTATTATGAGAGAACACAGGTGGGTGAGATAATCGAGGATTGGCTTAATCGGGGAATAATACAGACGAGCACTTCGGAGTATTGTTCACCCATAGTTATTGTACGAAAACGAGATGGGAGCGTTAGACTGTGTATTGCTTACAGAGAGCTCAATAAGAGAGTGGTGAAGGACCCCTATCCTAGCCCTAGGATAGATGCATTGAAAGGTAAGCAGTTTTTCACTAAACTTGATTTGAAGGATGCGTTCCACCATATCATAATAAAAGAAGACAGCAGAAAGTACACCAGTTTCGTGTGTGCACAAGGACAATTTGATTGTATCCGCATGCCGTTTGGATTTTGCAACAGCCCAAGTGTATTTGTGAGGTATATCAGTGAGGTGTTGCGAGAATTCATCGGGTGTGGGAAAATAATTGTGTATATGGACGATCTGTTGATTGCCACGGAGACTATAGATGAACATTTGAATATTTTGCAGAGAGTGCTAAAGACATTGAGTGTGAATAGATTAAGGTTGAAGATTCAGAAGTGTAGTTTTGTGTATAGACATACGGTTTATTTAGGGTATTATGTGGATAAGGATGGTATTAGACCTAGTGACACTAACGTTAGTGCAGTGGTAAATTATCCAGTGCCAAAGACATTTAGACAGTGAAGATCATTTTTAGGACTAATAAGTTATTTTAGGAAGTTTATAAGAAATTTTAGTATTAGGTGTAAGCTTCTATATGATTTGTGCAAGGAAGGCGAGTCGTTTCAATTGAACGAGGAAGCGGTTGCAGCCATTGAGTCGGTGAAGCAGGAGTTGGTGAAGCGTTCTGTACTGGCTATATATTCACCGTCAGCACGAACCGAGTTGCATACGGATGGAAGCAGTCGAGGCTATGGAGCGGTTTTGCTACAGAAGGATGGGGCTTGGCACCCCACTTGTTATTATAGCAAGAGAGCATCCTCAGCGGAGTCCAAACTTCATAGCTTTGAGCTTGAAATGCTGGCGATAGTTTATGCTGTACAGAGATTCCATGTCTACATGTACGGGATAAAGTTCAAACTCGTAACGGACTGTAGCAGCTTGAAGCTGGCATTGCAGAAAAAGGAGGTAAACCCTAAATTATTAAGGTGGTTTTTAATTTTGCAGAATTATGACTATGAGTTGGAACATCGGGGTGCAGCTAGGATGCAACATGTCGATGCGCTCAGTCGATGTCATGAACTGTTGGTGGTGGAGGAGAACTCATTTGAGCGAGTGTTGGCTCTGAAACAAGACCAAGATGAGGAGATAAAAGCAATAAGGTGTGAGCTAGGGGTAAAAGAGAGTAAATTTTATGAATTGAGAGATGGCCTTGTATATCGGAAGCAAGGAGATGACCTTTTATTTTGGGTACCGCAGCAAATGGTTGACAATGTAATTAGAATTGAGCATGAGCAGTTAGGGCATGCTGGAGTGGAGCGTACGATTAATGGGTTAAAGACTAGTTACTGGTTCAGTGGAATGACAGCCAGGGTAAGGAATTTTATTGAGAATTGTTTAAAATGTATCACATATTCACCGAAGTCTGGACGACATGAAGGCTATTTGCATTATATCCCAAAAGGGGATAAGCCATTTCTGGTGATACATATTGATCATTATGGGCCATTGACATTAACCAAGCGGAAGAAGAAATATGTATTCCTGTTGACTGATGGGTTTTCGAAGTTTGTGAAGTTGTTTGCTTGCCAAAGCACATCAAGTAAGGAAGTGATTAAACATATGGAGACATATTTCAGCAACTACAGTGTACCAAATAGCATCATTGCCGATAGAGGCAGTTGTTTTACGTCAGAAGCTTTTCGGAACTTTCTTTTGGAATACGGAGTCAAGTTAATATTGATTGCTACAGGAGCACCCAGGGCAAATGGGCAGGTAGAGCGATGCAATAGAACACTTACCCCAATGTTGGCAAAGATGACTGAAGGGATAGAAAACTGGAACATGGTTCTGACAGATGTCGAGTTTGCTATGAACAATGCTACCAACAAGACAACAGGGGAGAGCCCCAGTATGCTGATGTTTGGAGTAAGGCAGAGACGACGGGTTGAGGATAAGATGTTGGATTATTTGCAGCAGCATCAGGAGCGGGCTAATCTTCCTGAACTTAGAGAACAAGCCGCCCGTCGGATAGAGGATATGCAGCAGGCTTCTAAGTCATACCATGACAAGAAGCGGAAGGAGGCTAATAAATACAGTGTCGGTGACAAGGTAATGATTGAGAACGTTGACACTACTTTTGACGTTAATAAGAAATTGGTGCCAAAATTCAAGGGACCATACCGTGTGGAGGCGGTTTTGGATCATGATCGGTATGTTGCGACTGATCTGGAAGGGTTTCAGTTGGCACATGTGCCATTTACGGGGGTTGTGGATCCCACACACATGAAGCGTTGGAGTGAATAATGACAATTTGTGGAGTGAACAATGACAATTTGTGAAAATGAATAATGTTGTTAATAAGTTAATGAAAGTGAATAATGACTATGAGTGCGTGAGGACAATAAGTGATTAAAGACAGTAAGAGTAAGGACATTAATAAATAAATGAAATATTATATGTTGTAATGTGGTATTAACTTGTAAAATAATGTAATGTTTTGTAAATTTGTATATTTCGCTAACTAGATTTTGTTAGTCAATCGAGGGCGATTGTGGGGTCAGGTTTGGCCGAACTGTTAGCGAAATATATTGTGTGAATGTTTGAATG